GGACCGCTGGGGCCCCGGCTGTTTGCGCGCCTTGGGTGCGCGTCCCTGGTGGGGGAGGGGTTGTCGTTGCGCTAATTGTCGAGCTCTGCGCGGCTTTTTCCAGCCGGTCAGCCAAAATCTGAACACGGTCAGCTGATGAGGAGTCACCCTCCAGTCCTGCGAGGGGGAGCAGAGGCACATGTTCCATCCTGGAAGGTCGCCTGCGAGCCTCTTGCTGCCGGGATCCTTTATGACGCAGTAAATGTCGTATTTTTCACCCGAGTGTTGGATCCCGCCCCTGCACAGGGTATATATACCCCCGGTGGATTAGGAAGCTGACCTTTGAGATGTGTGTAGCTTTCACATTCTCTCTAAATACGCTTTTATAGAGCGTCTGTTTCCTGTCAAGCACCAGAGTAGATATTTTGCAGGAATCAGAAATCAATGATATAACACGTGGGTCCTATCTGTGGGGCACTGATAGTCCAATGGGGATTGGTGTTTAGATGGGGTCTGTGAAAGGTTGTAAACAGAAATACCTCTAATGTTACTTATTACCCTCCCTGGGTAAGTGCTGTTACAGGGGCACAGAAGGAAGGAGTGAAATGCGAATTTGGGAAGAGATTGATGTTTTTTATTTAGGGGATCAGGAAAGGCATCTTGGAGCAGGTATTAATTTGAATCAGTTAGGACTTGGTCAGATGAATAAGTCAGATTTAGTATGGGATGAGCAAGGCCTGGAAATTGGAACATACAGGGCTTGTTGAGGGATGGTGTAGCAAATGGTATAATGAGTAGATGGGAAAAGTATAGCTGAAGATAGATTTTGGAGGGGCCAGTGAGGAGAAGGATTACCAGCCTGTATACTCTGATTTGAAATGTGGTAAGCACTTATGAATTGAGTGGCCCCTTCATCTGTCAGTTGGACTAATGTCATTTGGACTAATCACCAAAATCTTGAAAATATTTTTGATTCTTTCTTCATTCACACCCTACATTTAATTTGTCAGCAAATCATAGTAAGTTCTACCTTTAAAACATAGCCAGACCGACCACTTCTAATTACCTCCATGGTTTCCAACAGGGCTGGTAGCCCTTTTATATATCTCCATGGATTTCACATTTCATTTGAGTTGTGCAATGCACAACCTGCATGATTGTACATTGTGGCCCTGGATTACTGCCATAGTTTCTTAACCTACTAAGAGTTACTATATTAAAATATAAGTCTGATCATGGTATTCCTCTGCTGAAAACTCTCTTAATTCATTCAGCTATATGCCTACTGTGTATAAAGCACTGTTAGGTATTGGGGATACAATGGTAAACAAGACAGACTAACCCCCCTCGTCTCATAGTTTACATTCTAATGGGACTGAAACACAACAAATAAGATTAAATAAGCACAATATGTATAACGTTATAATGTAAGTTGCCAAGGACAGAAAAAAATGGAAGTAGGGAAAGGGGATAGAAAATGTCGGGGTGGCCAAAGGATATCTTACTGAGTACACATTTGAGTAAAAGACTAAGGGAGAGGATGAGCCCTGAGGATAGTGAGGGGAAGAATGCATTGGGTAGAGGGAACAGTAAGGGCAAAGGGCCTGAAGTAGGAGCTTGCCCATCATGTTCCAAGGACAGCAAGAAAGGCTGCTATGACGGAGGTGCCGTGAACAAGGGTGATGAGGTCAGAGAGGTCATGGGGACCTAGCTTATGGATTTTGGCTTTTACTCTAAACAAGAATTTGATGCAGGAGTGACATGGTCTGATTTCTTTTCTTTTTTCTTTCCTTTTCTTTCCTCTCCTCTCCTCTCCTCCCCCTTCCCTTC